CCCCGAAATGCCTTTAAATACAAGTTCATACCCCAAAACACACTGCCAAGTGAATAATTTGTGCTTAAACCTTCATAAATATTTTATCTGAATATTTCAAAATATCACCAAAAATGTTTCACCATCTGGACACGACAAACATTTTTTCAAAAATCAAATTTCTCAAAATGCTCTAATATGATAACAAACATGCAGAAAACATACAATTCTGAAAAAAAATTAAAAATATTTTTCAAAATTTGATGAGATACATGGAGACAAGATTCAAGTTTCATCAAAATTTTTCACCATCTGATCACATGACATACAAAATAAGGAATTTAATAAATTAATTTTTAAAACAAAATTCTAAAAATGTTTTCAAAATGCTCTGCTTTGATGTGAAACATGCAAGAAAGATACAATTTTGAATTTTTCTGTCCAAAGAGTTTCATCAAATTTTTTACCATTTGACCACAGACACGCAAAATTAGGATTTTAATAAAAAAATGTAAAATATATATTTTTAAAAATTTTCTGAAAATGCTCTAATTTAATGATAAACATGCAGAAAAGATAAAATGTTGAATTTTTTTCCAAAGATTTTCATAAAAGTTTTTCACCATCTGATATGTGAAATTAGGAATTTATTAAACATTTTCTAAAAAGATTTTTCTAACAATTTTTTCAAAATGCTCTGATTCCATGAGAAACATGCAGAAAGGATAACATTTAAAAAAAAAAAAAATCCTAAATTCCTCATCAACATTTTTCAACATCTGACCAGTAACAGTGTGCTTAATCAGAACCCCCCCACATTTAAAAAAAAAAAGAATTCTTAAAATACTGTGTTTAACTTGGGGCAAACACTGTGGATGTTTCAGTACTGTAGAAGCTGAATAGACACAGCTGATGCCTCCGGGCAGAAACCGAGGACGGCTGTTTTTGAGATTAGCTTTGGCTTTGGACGTTAGTTCCAGTTATAACCTTGCATATTCACATGGAAATGTTCATTAGTATGCATTGTCCCTGTTCAATAAATGAAAAAAAGAAAAGATACAGTGGGAGACTATGGTTAGAAAGACTATGAACAGCAAGGCCCAGTTGGAGGCAGTGGTGAAGAAGGCTCCGAAGCAGCAGACTCAGTGGTGGCCTTTGATGAAGAAACTTTGATGAAGAAACTTTGATGAGGAAACTTTAAACTCAGAAAATCCATTGTTTTTTGGTGAATTCTGTCACAGGAGGATTAAGAGTGGACCTAAATGTAGCACACAAATCCAAGATTTGAGTTTAGTTCAGCTTTTCAATTCATGTGTCACAAAGAATAAACCAGCAAGGGAAAAGGGTGTGGTAGACAAACACACATAGACATACACACATGTGACTCTTTATTTTAGTCCTGTTTAATAATATAAAAAGAGCCAATAAATTATTGACTGTTTTTATATTTTAAAGTATAAAAATGTAGCCTGGGTGTTTGAATACATTTTCATGGTAGAGAATGTGGAAC